CTGGGTTATTTAGGCAGGTGTAGGTGGAATAAGTGATCAGCAGGACGCGCGGTGAGCCCAGCATCCTCCTATGCCGCCATCTTCCCAGGATCCTCCAATAAACTAATTTTTTAATGCACTATTAAGTGGGTTGTTTCCAGATATGCACAAATTCAGATGGTCACTTCTGGATTATTCTAGGAAAGTCAATATGTAATAACTGGAGGGGGTAAATTTATAAGACCCTTGAATAATAGCTGTTAGACAACTCAGGCTAGAAAACCCATTGAGATATGTTTTCTGGAAGTTAGAAAGCCTCATCAACCTTACCACCATCATACAGAGATATTGTAAAAGCTTGCTGTGATTGCTGAGTTTAAATATACTATTTTTGTGACATCCGTACTCTGAGTGGGTCGTATACTGGTAAAAATGAGAGTATTATGATTAACTTGTTAAATTCTCTTATTACATTACATTTGCTGCTAACTTGAAACATTGTAACTGTATCACTTTCTTATTACACCAGTTCAATTCTTTCATTTCCGTCATAAAAGAGATGCTTAACAGATTGGAGTCTGAACATAAGACTAAACTGGAACAACTTCAAATAATGCAAGAACAGCAGAAGTAAGTAGGTTGCATATGAATTGTACATGGCCCAACAGTGACACTAAAGTGACCTCATAATTGATTTTCTGGAATAAGGACCCAAAAAATTGATGGATTCCTGTTTTTTTAAATGAAGTTTATTATTTTGATTCCAGTATAGTTAACATACAGTGTTATATTAGTTTCAGGTGTACAGTATAGTCATTCAAAAATTCTATACATTATTACTCAGTGCTCATTATTAATCCCTTTCACCTATTCTACACATCCCCCCATTCATCTCCCCTCAGGTAACCATCAGTTTGTTCTGCATAGTAAAAAATTGATGGATTTCAATATGATCACTTGTAAAACATTTAAAAATTTTCCAACATGTTAAGTTGAACTGAGTTAAAATAGAATATTGTGGAAAATCCAGTGTCATTTCTGAGTGCAAAAGTGTAATATGATAATCGTAAGATTTTCTATATGTAAAGAAAATTCTACTGCTGAGAAAGTCTCTTGTCAGCATTAGCTACTAGTGTTGTAAATTCAGAGTGCTAATGATGAAGAGCACCGCTTACAAATATTTTTCAAATCTATGAAACCCTAGTATTTTGATCTCACCCTTTTTCTTTTCTCTGATTCCAGAAACATTTATAGAGCATTCATTTCATATTTAATACCACAACATGCACTTCCGTTTCTTTAAGGGAGGATTTTCCAAATTATTTGCAAAATCCTAGTTTTCAAAGAAAGAAGGGAAAGATAAAATTACTCACTGGAGAATGCCGGTTTATTAAAATAAAATCACTATATTTGTTTCCCAGAAAAAAAACACGTGATTTTAAGATGGCTGTTGAATCCTGAGCCAAAAGACATCAGATACTCACTAAAATTTATACCAATTATGAGCAAGGTCCCCACGTATAAAATTTTTTAGGTTCTGCCCCAGAGTGAGATGAAGGCTTAAGGAAGCAAATACACCAGGTGTAGGATGACTTGAAATAGCCCTTTGTACGCTCTAAATATTCTATTCTCTAAATATTCAATGACGTAGATATTTATGTCATTTCGTGGGTTGACTGTATTAACACAGGAACCCTGAAAAATAATTTTTAAAAATTTATAAGAGAAAATTTTAATATCTAGTATTTGTACTTGAGGTGTAAACGAACTCTTCTTTTTTCTTTTTCTCATCTAAATCTTGCCTGGTTTTCAAGGCATGGATCTGGCCCATCACAGTGATTGTAGTGCTTATTATTAGAATCAGGTTCTGAATTTAATCACATCAAGTCCTACATATCATACCTTGTCTCTCAGTGATCTATAAGCTTTCTGACAGTAAGAATCATGCTTGCCTGATTTTATGAGACTGAGTAAATTCTCCAGTAAATTTTGAATATTGAATTAAAAAAAAAAAAGACTTGTTATGCAAATGTTACTGTTTTTGAGCAAGCAGACATTAATTGTAGCAAATAATGAAAAAGAGTATGACTGTCCTGAAAGAAGTTTGTTTAGGTTACAATAACCCCCATGTGGAAGAACCATTTTTTGTATGAGTATTTTAAAAATAAGCATTTCTTTTCATTGCTTTGTCATAATTCAATTTTCCTGCAGATCTTTGGATATAGGAAATCAAATGAATGCTTCTGAGGAGATGAAAGTTACAAATGTTGGATCTCAGGTAAGACATTTAGATTATTTTAATTTTTGTAAAAAGAGTTTGACAGTGTGCTTCATTTGAGAGGCTTTTGCCCTTTAAGCAGTAATATCACAATTTTTTGATGTCATTCAGGTGGTTTGACATTTTTCTTTTCAGCATATTGACAAAGTCTTTAACAACATTGGAGCAGACTTTCTTACTGGCGGTGAATCAGAAAATAAAGAGGATGGGTTACAGAATAAACATAAAAGAGTAAGTTTCTTCACTTACTCCTGTAGTGTACTTATTTATATTATAGGACTTCCTATAAATTATAGATTTTGTTGGGAAATACTGTTCAGCATCTTAACAAGAAACATTTTTTAATATTTTTATGAAATTTAAAAATTATCATGGGAACATGACCTGATTCACATTGAGAATATACAGACTTGAGAATTTTAACTTCTTTTATTACTCAGCCTCCCACATGGTAACTTCTAGATTGCCTGCCTCCTTTGTCCTTTCTGCTGGACTTTGCCAGTCCTACCTCTTGATAAATGTTACTGTGTCTTGACTCTGCTTCTGATTTTGAATAATAAATTATAAAATGATACTTTCCAATTGAAATATTTGTTAATATTCAATATAATATGTTAATTTTGAATTTCTCCTGGGGGCAACTTTTCTTCTATTCATTTGACAAAAACAAGTACCTATATGTGTAAAGCCAAGGAGCTACCAGGCATGGTTTACAAAATTTTAAGAGAACATACTGTGAGTTTATAGTTTAGCAAAGTTGATAAAGCAAAAAGACAAATGTCAAATTTGATGCAGACCTTTAGCAGTGAAAGACACTGTTTATGTTTTCCTTAGCTTTTTGGTGAGTTCTTAAAATATTTTTGGAGTGAGATAGGGTTGAACAGGAATCTCCCAATTTTATAAGATGAAGTCATCAAGTCATATTCTCCTTGTCTGGAAAAAAGTCATTTTGATGAATGGTTTAAAAAAATTTTTTTTTCAACGTTTATTTATTTTTGGGACAGAGAGAGACAGAGCATGAACGGGGGAGGGGCAGAGAGAGAGGGAGACACAGAATCGGAAACAGGCTCCAGGCTCTGAGCCATCAGCCCAGAGCCTGACGCGGGGCTCGAACTCACGGACCGCGAGATCGTGACCTGGCTGAAGTCGGACGCTTAACCGACTGCGCCACCCAGGCGCCCCAGATGAATGGTTTTAAAACAATAACTGTTTTCATACTGGAACTATTTTAGCAGAGATTTTGTGAGTTTCTACTTAAAGTAAAAGCTTATAATAATTCAAAATATAATGTACCTGTGGCAATCACTACAGGAGTAATTTGCAAATTATTTGCTATTGTCAAACATACTAAGACATACCTTACAAAAAAAGAAGTCTTCTGTTTTATAAGTGGAATTATGAAATTGCTCATTGATATATATATATATATACTTTTTTTTTTTTCTGAGGCATCACTTACACTTGAAGAAAAACAAAAATTAGCAAAAGAACAGGAGCAAGCACAGAAGTTGAAAAGCCAGCAGCCTCTTAAACCCCAAGTACACACACCTGTTGCTCCAGTCAAACAGGTCAGAATTGATTTCTCTTGCAGAATTTCAAGCATACTTACTTTCAGGTTATACTTGTGTATAATTTCAAGTGCACGATACTTAAGGAGTATATAACTTAGTCTACCTATTAGTGTTTGTCTAAAAATATATTTCTAAGAAATTTCAATAATGCAGTTTCTAAGAACTATGGGCATAAAGGATTTTCCAGCCACTCCTCAATAGCCTGCCCTAATGTATAATATTTTGAGATAGTGTTTGTTACCAAACAAACAGAACGCTAGATAAATACCAATAAAGAGAAGGCAGTAATATTCTTAAAAAATATTAGGTTTCATAGTACTGATTAACTCTGTTCACCTTGAAATGATCAGTAATATTATGTTCAGGCATTTATATATTTTTGACCAAAAAGTAATTTTTAATTTTTGGTGTTTCAGTTATAGCCAGGTCTGTAATTTGATTTAGGAATACTTACCACTATGTCCTGACCAGTATTTATTTCTTATTATGTACCAGACACTGTCCTAGGTGGTAGTGCTATGGCAGGGCTTAAGGTTCTTGCTGGTAGAGAGTTCAAACTCATACAGACTGCAGAAATAACTTTATCTTAAAAGCTTTCTTTAAATTATTTTTTGTTACCTCTTTTTTTGTGAAAAAAAAATTTTTATGTTTACTTTTGAGAGAGACAGAGTACGAATGAGGGAGGGGCACAGAGAGAGGGAGATAGAGAATCCAAAGCAGGCTCCAGGCCCTGACCTGTCAGCACAGAGCCTCATGTGGGGCTTGAACTCATGAATGGTGGGGTCATGACCAGAGCCAAAGTTGGACGCCCAGATGACTGAGCCACCCAGGCACCCCTTTTTCGTTACCTCCTAATCACTAAAATTCTTCTTCAGAGAAAAATCTTTATGGGCCAAGAGGCAAAATCAAAAATATTTTGTAGGTATTTACGTAAGAGAGAAAACAAATTTCTACAAAATTGTGATGCAATTCAAAATATAAAAATTAAATAGAGTATCATTTTTGCAATGCAGATCTAATGAGAAGAAGGAATTTCTATTTTGGGAAGTGGTGGGCGGAGCCAGCATTTTATTTAATTGGAATTCAAAGTTAGTGTTCCCTGTCATCAAATTGATTGCAAATGTTTATCTGTAAAAGTATGTGGCAGGCTGGATTTCGCCTGTGAGCTGTGGTTTGCCAACTTGGTATAGACTGTTGAGCTTAATTTGGAGTTGTCATTTATAGTACAACCTGTCAAAGTTACTGATTGTAAAGAATTTGGCAATCTTGGAGGTAAAGTAATTCCCTCATATTTTTCAGACTAAGGACTTGACAGACACATTGATGGATAACATGTCATCTTTGACCAGCCTTTCTGTTAGTACCCCTAAAATTTCTGCTTCAAGTACCTTCACTTCTGTTCCTTCTATGGGCCTTGGCATGATGTTTTCTACACCAGTTGATAACACCAAGAGAAATTTGACCAACGGCCTAAATGCTAACATGGGCTTTCAGACTTCAGGATTCAACATGCCGGTTAATACAAACCAGAACTTATTCAGTAGTCCAAGCACACCCGGAGTGACCAAGATGACACTGGGAACACCTTCCACTTTGCCAAACTTCAGTGCTGTGAGTGTTCCTCCTGCTGGTGCGAAGCAGACTCAACAAAGACCCACAGATATGTCTGCTCTTAATAATCTCTTTGGCCCTCAGAAACCCAAAGTTAGCATGAACCAGTTATCACAACAGAAACCAAATCAGTGGCTTAATCAATTTGTACCTCCGCAAGCGTCTCCAGGTATGGGCAGTTCAGTAATGGGAACACCAATGAACATGATGGGACAGTCTGCCTTTGGTATGCAGGCTAATCCTTTCTTTAGCCCGCAGAACTTTGCACAGCCACCAACTACAATGACCAATAGCAGTTCAGCTAGCAATGATTTAAAAGATCTTTTTGGGTGAGGTGTCTTGCTCTGTTTTTGAAGGATTACTTCAATTTTAATCATGGGTAAGCGAATTTACATCTTTGTATAGTTGGCTTGGAGGAACTACTTCTGTGGGAAAGTGAATGGTTCCATGACAGAAAACACCTTGTTTCCATGCCAGCATAGTAATTGTATGGACTCGTAACAGTTGAGTTTTTTAAAGCATTGAGGAATTTTTTCCTCTTACCACCTCCTCTTCCAAGTTTTTAAAAGACCCAACCCTTACCAATCTCTAAGAGAAAAAAGACACCTGAGTATCTTGAATAGCAGAATTTTTTAATCAAATGTTTGTTTATTTTAGCTTGTAAATCTTGGGTTATTTAAGAAATTTTGAGTTGATGGTTAATGCAAGTTTCATATGTTAAATACTACATGGTACACAGTCTGCTTTCACAAGTCATTAGTCTTTAATGTGTGAAAAATCCTGATGCTCTATTGATTTGTTTGCATTTAGTATGACTGAAGGAGATAATGATAAACATAATGAAAAGGATCAGGTCACTTGCTTTTTCCAATCTTATTTACTTCACAGATGAACTAATGTTCAACACAAAAGACTGAACAAATACTACAAAATTTAACTTAATGTTGATTTCATTGGTTCAAACTAAAGGCATTATTAACCATCTTAAATGCAAACTAATCATTGTAAATTATATTTTAGCATGGTCTGCCTCAAATACTAATGTATTTTTCTGCATTTACTTGGATATATTTAGAATCACTTTCTTTCCTACTGTATGACAGATAGAAGAATATGTACTGATTTGTACAGATATTTGACAAAGCCCTCTGATGTGATTTCCCTGACTCTTGCCTTCATATTTCATTTTGAATTCAAACTTCTGAGGTTGTAGCACATATGAATTGCATTTTCAAAAGGATATTTGTAAGAAACTATATTTAATGAGTAAACTTTTGAGATTTCTGCTGTATCGTTTCAAATGTAATAAACTTTACTTCTCTAAAAATGAGCGGTTGTATCTTCTCGCTACCAACAGATTAACTTTCAGTTTACCATGATAAAGTCTGACCTCATCAATTACTGCAACTAAAGTTTAATTGTGTTCTAGAAATTTTAGGAAACTTTTGTTTGAACATTTTTATGTCCACAATTAGCTATTGTTAGCAAACAAAAAAAAATTCTTCTAATAGGAAATCTGCTTTATTTTTAAAGTCTTTCTCTGATATTTTTCTTTGATGTGCTGATTATTCAACCACAGAGCCTTATGCTGTAAATGTTATTTGTATTTTGTTTAAATTATATTCCACCATTATGTGATAACTTCAAAATGATCTTTCAGAGAACTATATATGCATTATAGTTGCTGCCATAGAGTTTGTGGTTTTTAATTCTCTGAAACCAGCAATCATTTAAAGTAAATCACATGAAGTTTAGTGTGCTGATACCAAGCTTATTCATTGAAATACACACACACACACACACACACACACACACACACACACACACACAAAATATATACATTGAATGTACAGTTCTTGATTATAAAATGTTATTTGTTGATAATATTGCTGGCAGTATTCAGTAAGGGGGTACTTTAAAAAATAAAAGGTCAGCTTTACATCTGGTTTCTGTATGAGGTGTACTTTGTTACTGCATGGTTTTATAAAAAAGATTCACAGGAATGTTGAAGAAATTTATCCAAGAAATGAAAGGCACTAGGAAGATCAAATGTTTTTGTCAAATACGTTCACACTCTGACCAGATTACTGGTCTTATTTGTAACACAATATTAATATTTCTCTTGAGGAAAGTTTACATATGGAATAAAATTAATGTTGAAGAATTTTCCTTAGTAACAATTTTGTAGTAACTGTTTATTAGGAAATTGCTTTTTATTTTGTAAAATAACTTGATGTCAGTGTTGAACTCCTAATTAGAAGGAAAGTTGAATATAACAACATATAATTTGAACTTCTAAATATAAAAATAGATTATTTGAAAGAATATAATATATAATTCTTAGGTAATTTTTACATCTTGAAATGTTCTCATTCATTGAGGTAATGGTGCTACAGTTTTAGAAATCTTTTCGTATAGTTTTTCTGTTTTCTTGAAGATATTTTACCTAAATCATGTCCATCAATTGAACTGCTACCATTCCCTTTATCTATTGAGAAATTGCATCTGATGGGTGCCTGGCTGGCTCAGTCGGTAGAGCACGCAACTCTTGATCTCAGGGTTGTGAGCTCAAGCCCCACTGGGTGTACAGCTTACTTGAAAGAAAGAAAGAAAGAAAGAAAGAAAGAGAGAAAGAAAGAAATTACATCTGAAATATAGTGCCATTTTTAGGCTTGTATTTCTGTGTGAACAAAATTTTCACAATACTAGATCATCTTAAAATTATTTCAGATATTGACAACATTTAAGTCCTTGTGCTTAGAGTAGAAAGTTGATGGGTTAAAAAGTACCTATAGACAAAAATTACAAGAAAGATTCCCTTTATTTGAGTTGGTTCCTTATTCTCCTAATGCTAAAATGTGTGATATATATAGAGAGAGGATGTATAAAAGGAAATGGAAATAGACTGTGTACTTGGCTGGTTTTTGTTTGTTTTTGTTTTTGTTTTGGAATGCTTATAACCCTCTTTTCACCTGAAGAAGTTAAGGAAGTAGGTTTTTGTTATTTTAACCTGTAAAATACCTCACATGGTTGCTTTTACAAGACTAAAAGAAAACGTATATGTGACAGTACCTGATAGCAAGCACAGAGTATGCACCAAATAAATTTTAGCTTTGATAAAAATCTCTATATTAAGTTGTGATTTTATGCTTTGTGATTTACTGGTCTTGAAATAATTTTTGAGCAAAATGAATCTAAGAATTTAAGCTATATAGGATTTTAACAGATAATCTACATTGGTGGCTTTCAAACTGTAACTATGACACTCAGAAATACGTTACACTGCAAACCAGCATATGAAATATATACCTGAAACAAATGTTTTAGAAAATGTCTTTAATACATGTGGAATATTCTGATTTTTTTATTCTATCCTATTCATTAAAAAAAACAACACCTTTGCAGTCTCAAAACAATTTCATGGTGTAGTGTGGATAAAACTGGAATAATTCAGCCCTTTCTCCAAGTTATAGAAATAGCGGGCCAGATACTTACATGGCCTAACCCAAGGAGGTCAGAGCCCGGAATAGAAGCTAGATTTTTTTCCCCCTAATCTGCAGTCTGATGTTCTGCCATGTTGCATCCTTTATTGTATGAATTCTTCTGCAGTTGCTTTTGTTGAGAATGTTCTATGTAGCAATATGTGTTCAGTATTCATTTTATACCGTAAGTATATTTATGTTGGAAAAATTGACGTTGAAGGAGAGGGAGGTGATGAAACAAATGTTTATGGTTAAAATCAGCTGCTTCTCTGAATTGTGGGTGAGGAGGGCTGGGGAGCCGGGTTAGCAGTGCTTGTGGTATCCAGACATGAAGCAGAATTAAAGTATGTAACCCTGAGGAGGAGGGGGTGCAGTGGGAAAAACCATTTCACCAAAATGGAGCTTGTTGGATATTAAAAACTTTTTCTGTCCAAAGCAGCCAAGTTTCTCCTGCCACTCAAGGGAGGATTATCTCCAAGATGTAAGCCACATAAGTAATTTAAAATTTTCTAGTAACTTCATTAAAAAGTAAAAATTGGTGAAATTAACGTTTAACTGAATAATTCAGAGCCAAAGTATTTCAACATAGAATTTATATAAAATTTAATGAGATATTTTACATTTTATACCTAGTCTTTGAGCTCCAGTATATATTTTACACTTAGCACACCTCAATTCAGGCTACTCACGTTTCAGATACTCAGTAGCCCCATGTTGCTAGTAGCTACTGTATTACATAGTGTAGGTGTATATAGAAGCTAAGCAGCCATAGGGGTGAACCATGGCAGTTATCAGCTTAACCATCTCCCAGCTCCAAATCCAACCTTTTCTGTCCTACTTTGTGATGCTGGAGCCTGGACCTTATAAATTTCTCTCTTTCGTGAGCTTAGCAGAATGTTAGTCTTCATTGATAGAGGGCCCTGAAGTGGCCCTGCAAAAAAGCAAGAGCATCAAGAAGACACTTCACTTCTGGGTCCTGGTTCTCTGTTTTAATTTACTGTTGGAGCTCAGGAGCCCAGCAGGAGAGTTCCAGCTGTGCGCGGGGTTAGACTCTCCCAACCTTGCTGTCCCTTTGGAACAGCTCCTGGGATCTACTTCCGGGACAACTCAGCAGCTGTCTCCCACTCTGTGGTCCATGAACTCTGACAAATTTCTACAATACTGGCAGTCTGAAAGTTCCTGTGGAAACCACACCCACTCCAGAGAAGCTTGGCGCTCAGCTTGGGGGGTGGGGGCCGGGGTGGGGAAGAGAGCCTCTCTTGGTCTTTAGTTACTTAATTTTTTTCACTTCCTCTCAGCCTAGAGGTAGTAGCTCCTTTTTTTCCTGCAACTGCTACTTCTGTACTCAGGCCTCTTTTGTGCCTTTAATTAATTAACCATTACTACTACTAGTTAACAATTATTTTATTAAAATTTCCTCATTCAAATACCTGGTGTGGGTTCTGCTTCTACCAGTTAACAATTATTTTATTAAAATTTCCTCATTCAAATACCTGGTGTGGGTTCTGCCTACTGACCTCACTCACTGATAGATCCTGAAAGTACTATGCCATTTTATTTAAACATTTAAAAATATTATTAAAATCTTTGTATTGAAGTATAAAGTTGACACAATGTTACATTAGTTTCAGGTGTACAAGGTAGTGATCTGACAACTATATGTTACTAAGCCGTTTAAAAATGGGGCCATATGATACATATTTGCTGCTAGCAAAAGTGTTAATGGGGTTGATTTTTATATACCTAGCCTATATTAAAACCTTCTAGGGGCGCCTGGGTGGCGCAGTCGGTTAAGCGTCCGACTTCAGCCAGGTCACGATCTCGCGGTCCGTGAGTTCGAGCCCCGCGTCG